TAAAAAAATTCAAATTAACAAAAGTAAAATAAAAAATTAAATACAAATCACGACGTTTCGGAGGCAATACAAGCTTCCATCTTCAGGTGGAACCGTCACAGCATGATAGCTGTATCAAGTAAGAGAAATTCCAAGAAAACAGTCCTTGTATATATACTGGTTGAGGGTGGGAGGAACCAAGGTGGGCCCTGAATATTATTTTTGTGAGGAAGGTGAGTGACGTATTTATTCAAATTTAGCCAGGCAGGTGCGCATAATGCATTTCCCAAAAGGGTTCTGACGCACTATGTTTGTGAAATGACGTCAGGAGTCCCGAATATGACTGCATTTTTCAGAACAAGAAACATCAATTAAAATGACGCAGGTACATTCTGACAGCTCTCGAGACAGGAGAAACATTATTTAAGTCAGTTTCTAGCCTTCGTCGTATATTTAAAATAGTATTTTCGGTACTAATTAACATGTTGCATACATTGATGTGGGGTTAGTAATGAATATAGCAACCGAGTGAGTTTATCCTGAGAATTTAGCAGTTTGGAATAAGTTACCTGTTTTTGTTGGTTAAATATTTTATGTTGCCACTAAACCCTACGAATTTTTCATACGACAGTGAAATTCCTATTCTTATGTTTTTTCGGTAAAGTCACGTAGATACAAAATTAAAATTAAAATTAATCAAAGTAAAATAAAAAAAATCGCGACGTTTCGGAGGCAACACAAGCTTCCGTCTTCAGGTGGAACCCTCACAGCACGATAGCTGTATCAAGTAAGAGAAATTCCAAGAAAACAGTCCTTGTATATATACTGGTTGAGGGTGGGAGGAGACAAGGTGGGCCCTGAATATTATTTTTGTGAGGTTCGGTGCAGCTGAAGCACGCTGTTAGGAATGAGCCTTTCTTGTGTAAACTAGGTGCGGCTGATGTAAAGGTGCGTGTAAATGGGACTGAGCCTTTTGTTATGTAGAGGTGGTGAGGCTAAAAACGCTGCCAGGAATGAGTCTTTGTTGTGTAGAATGGTTGAACTGGGAGGTTCTAAGAGTTGTTAAGGTGCGGCTGATGTAAAGGTGCGGCTGCTATGAATGGGAGTGAGCCTTTGTTATGTAGATGAAACAGCACTTTGCTACGTTGCTGGGATTAATTCTAGATTTGCCAAATATGTGTGGTAACACTTACGGCAGGAAAACCAGTGTGTTAAAAAAGAAGAAACTATACGGTAACTGAAGAATGGTGCCTGTCAAATAAGGTGGTCCAAATATGTGTAGTTAAATCTTTTTAGCATATATATGTGTGTGTGTGAGATTACTCTGCTGAGCTAATTAAAACGTAGGTTTAGTTAGGACCCCGTCCAGTGTTCGGGTGGCAGCAGGAATGGATTTGTAGCGTGATCTGGAACACAGCAGCAGCAGCAGCAGCACCGGGTCTGTGTTGAACTTAATAACATCTTTCCAATGATTACTAAGTTTGTACCCATCATCACGGTTGAAATTATGTCTGTGTTTGTATATTTGGATGGCTTCGTGTACAAACCTTTGATGGTAGCCAGGAGGTTTGCAGAGCACCTTGGTCTCGGAAAAGACAATTTCATGAGAGCCCACAGCGTTGTAGCAATGATCGGCAACGGCGGAAGAATCAATTTTGCCGTGTTTCAGATCTGGCCATAGAGTATGGGAGGTCTTCCCAAGATCTATAAAGAAGGCACCCCGCTACGACCCATCGTGTCGACGATCAACTCTCCTACCTACAAACTAGCCTGGTTTCTATCAGATACTCTGCTTCCCTTCAAATTAATTAAAATTAATTTAAATGAAATTTACTTTATTAATTAAAAAAAATTTACCTACGTGACTTTACCGAAAAAACCTTAAGAATATGAATACTTGCAGTCACGAAAGCTTCAAATCTAGAATTGATAGCCAACATGTTCATGGAAAAGTTTGAATCAGACCCCATCCAGACATCCACCCTGCGTCCTTCGCTGTGGAAGAGGTATGTGGATGACACTTTCGTCATTTGGCCACATGGCCTCCCAGCATTGAACCACTTCTTGGACCACATCAATTTCAGACACCCATCCATCAGATTCACCATGGAAGTGGAGAAAGATGGTAAACTACCATTCTTAGATATTCTGTTTGAGAGGAGACCTGATGGATCCTTGGGACATTCTGTCTACAGGAAAGCCACCCACACAAATTCCTACTTGAAACCTGATTCCCACCACCACCCATCTCAAAATATGTATCTCATCAAAACGCTATACCACAGAGCTCAAAGCATTTCTGACCAACACCACCTGGCCAGTGAATTCAGACATGTACATCGGGCCCTCAGGATGAACGGATACTCTGACCGCACCAACTGCCAAGCTGTTTCTCCCACCATACAGAAACTCCGATCAAAACTATCACGTTGCCATACATAGCAGACGTGACCAAAAAGATCTCCAAAATTCTAAACAAACATAAGATCCAAGTCCGATTCAGTACAGTACATAAAATCCGTGATCTAATTCCAGCTGTGAAAGATGTCATTCCTGACTTACAATACCCTGGAGTCTACAAACTGAGTTGCAGTTGTGGTGATTGCTACATTGGAGAAACGAAACGTCATATCTCTGATCGTGTCCGCGAGCACAAGTCAGATCTGAAACTGATTCTTCCGCCGTTGCCGATCATTGCTACAACGCTGTGGGCTCTCATGAAATTGTCTTTTCCGAGACCAAGGTGCTCTGCAAACCTCCTGGCTACCATCAAAGGTTTGTACACGAAGCCATCCAAATATACAAACACAGACATAATTTCAACCGTGATGATGGGTACAAACTTAGTAATCATTGGAAAGATGTTATTAACCATGCTAAAAAGATGTAACTATATATATTTGGACCATCTTATTTGACAGGCACCATTCTTCAGTTACCATATAGTTTCTTCTTCTTTTTTCACACACTGGTTTTCCTACTTAAATTTTACCACACATATTTGGCAAATCAAGAATTAATCCCAGCAACGTAACAAAAGTGCTGTTTCATCTACATAACAAAGGCTCAGTCCCATTCATAGCAGCTGAACCTTTACATCAGCCGCACCTTAACAACAATTCTACACAACAAAGACTCATTCCTGGCAGCGTTTTCAGCCTCACCACCTATACATAACAAAAGGCTTAGTCCCATTTACACGCACCTTTACATCAGCCGCACCTAGTTTACACAACAAAGGCTCATTCCTAACAGTGTGCTTCAGCCGCACCGAAACTCACAAAAATAATATTCAGGGCCCACCTTGGCTCCTCCCACCCTCATCCAGTATATATACAAGGACTGTTTTCTTGGAATTTCTCCTACTTGATACAGCTATCGTGCTGTGACGGTTCCACCTGAAGACGGAAGCTTGTGTTGCCTCCGAAACGTCGTGATTTTTATTTTATTTTTATTTTACTTTTATTAATTTAAATTTTTTATCTACGTGACTTTACCGAAAAAACCTAAGAATAGGAATTTCACTGTCGTATGAAAAATTCGTAGGGTTTAGTGGCAGCATAAAATATTTAACCAACAAAAACAGGTAACTTATTCCAAACTGCTAAATTCTCAGGATAAACGCATTCGGTTGCCATATTCATTACTAACCCCACATCAATGTATGCAACATGTTAATTAGTACCGAAAATACGATTTTAAATATACGATGAAGGCTAGAAACTGACTTAAATAATGTTTCTCCTGTCTCGAGAGCTGTCAGAATGTACCTGCGTCATTTTAACTGATGTTTCTTGTTCTGAAAAATGCAGTCATATTCGGGACTCCTGACGTCATTTCACAAACATAGTGCGTCAGAACCCTTTTGGGAAATGCATTATGCGCACCTGCCTGGCTAAATTTGAATAAATACGTCACTCACCTTCCTCACAAAAATAATATTCAGGGCCCACCTTGGCTCCTCCCACCCTCAACCAGTATATATACAAGTACTGTTTTCTTGGAATTTCTCTTACTTGATACAGCTATCGTGCTGTGACGGTTCCACCTGAAGATGGAAGCTTGTGTTGCCTCTGAAACGTCGTAATTTTTATTTTATTTTTATTTTACTTTTATTAATTTGAATTTAAATGTTTTATCTACATGACTTTACCGAAAAAACCTAAGAATAGGAATTTCACTGTCGTATGAAAAATTCGTAGGGTTTAGTGGCAGCATAAAAGATTTAACCAACAAAAACTGGTAACTTATTCCAAACTGCTAAATTCTCAGGATAAACTCACTCGATTGCCATATTCATTACTAACCCCACATTAATGTATGCAACATGTTAATTAGTACCGAAAATACGATTTTAAAATATACGATGAAGGCTAGAAACTGACTTAAATAATGTTTCTCCTGTCACGAGAGCTGTCAGAATGTACCTGCGTCATTTCAACTGATGTTTCTTGTTCTGAAAAATGCAGTCATATTCGGGACTCCTGACGTCATTTCACAAACATAGTGCGTCAGAACCCTTTTGAGAAATGCATTATGCGCACCTGCCTGGCTAAATTTGAATAAATACGTCACTCACCTTCCTCACAAAAATAATATTCAGGGCCCACCTTGGCTCCTCCCACCCTCAACCAGTATATATACAAGGACTGTTTTCTTGGAATTTCTCTTACTTGATATAGCTATCGTGCTGTGACGGTTCCACCTGAACATGGAAGCTTGTGTTGCCTCTGAAACGTCGTGATTTTTATTTTATTTTTATTTTACTTTTATTAATTTGAATTTAAATGTTTTATCTACGTGACTTTACCGAAAATACCTAAGAATAGGAATGTCACTGTCGTATGAAAAATTAGTAGGGTTTAGTGGCAGCATAAAAGATTTAACCAACAAAAACTGGTAACTTATTCCAAACTGCTAAATTCTCAGGATAAACTCACTCGGTTGCCATATTCATTACTAACCCCACATTAATGTGTGCAACATGTTAATTAGTACCGAAAATACGATTTTAGAAATATACGATGAAGGCTAGAAACTGACTTAAATAATGTTTCTCCTTTCACGAGAGCTGTCAGTATGTACCTGCGTCATTTTAACTGATGTTTCTTGTTCTAAGAAATGCAGTCATATTCGGGACTCCTGACGTCATTTCACAAACATAGTGCGTCAGAACCCTTTTGGGAAATGCATTATGCGCACCTGCCTGGCTAAATTTGAATAAATACGTCACTCACCTTCCTTACTCACTTATAAAGCCCCATGCAGGAGACCACAGCGAGACACCTGGAGAGAGCATCCATCGTGAGGAAACGCATTTCGGAACTGAGTCTCAAGGTTCGTTTTTTAAAAGCCCTTGTGCAAATACAGAAAATATATATTTGATATGTATATATTTATAAAGGCTCTGTTGGTCAATTTCTCAAGCTTTCCCTCTTTTGGCCGGTACTCCAAGGGTGTGTAGCTATTGTTAATTATTAGTTGGCGTGTTTACCCAGGGAAACCTCACTGAGTCTCAAGACTCTATTCGAGGAGGTTTCTGCCTCGTTTTCACAGTAGGCAGTGATGTTGCTCTGTGTATAATCCCACTTGAGTAATTTTAAAGTAATTTTCAGCATTGGAATGTTTTGGCCAAGACAAGCTTACATTTTTTTTTTCACAATCAGACCATTTCAAGTTCATGAGCTTGGCGGAGTGTTGCAGTGCGAGGACCATAATAGATGGTGACCGACTTGGGAAGGACTTAACCCACCCATGGTTAGATCACAGTTGATTGTTTGTAATGATGGGATGTGGTCAGAAAACTAGATGTGGGCGACTTTGTGATGTGTGCGTTTGAGTTAATTTTATTTGTTTACATGGATGTTCCCGTTTAGCCAGGTTCCTGACTGTTTTACAAGGAAGATTTGGTGGTGCGTGAGCACAGCAACAATACAGACAAAAACATCAATATTGCAGACAAGTACAGGGTCCTGAAGGAATATGGCACAACTAACAAACTCGGTATTTAACGGTCGTGAACTAAACACATGCGAAAAAAGTTTTAATATAATGGAAGCAAGATGCGCCAAAAAAGTTAGGTAGAGGTGAAAAAAAGCTCTGTGTTTTGGCCTAATAGGGTTAAACAGAGGGGGAGTGAAGGGAGTTAGTTTTAAATATTAATAAAAAGACACATCTGAGGCTACGGGAGGGAGTTAGAGGAACAACATGGTCCTTTTTTAATTGGCTGATTTGATTAAACCCTTTGGGTTGAAGACAGCCCATTGATGGACTCTCTGGATTTCCATCGGGGAGAGATTCGAGTTGATGTACAGGTTGCAATGATGAGTTCTATAGGGAGCGTCAAGGGAAAAATGGAGGGCAGAGTGGAGGGAATGAGGAAGGCGAATTAAGAGGTGGATAAATAGTCGTATCACAAGGCTGGATTTCAGTGTTGATGTGGCCTGCAGATGTAAAAAGCTTGCGTGCTGCCACGGCCGTATAATTATGAACTGCGAGCGCATCACAATTTATGCAGATATTAGCATCACGTGCCGCTTTACTAATGATTAACTCTCGATGAATCAATACTCTAACGTGGCTGTCGGTTCGACACTGAGCGGAATCGATATTATAGACACCTAAATTCAGGTTTCACAAAACCTTATACAGTATTGGCAGAGACGCGCCCCTATGGGACAACATACTTTCTTCCATACATAGGCAGATAAATGATCGGTATTTTTGTCAGGTTTCGATTTTAAATGTTTCGAGTGCAACACCTGGCAGGCTTATGAGCACACAAAAGTTAAATTAAAAAGGACTGGCGTATCCTGAGCTGTGTTGCCAGGGAAACCGAGTCGACCCGTATGCTAATTACAGTCGACTCAATTATCCAAGCTAATGACGGGAAGGACGGCCGCATATAACACTGGTCTGCAGCCAAAATGCTTCTGAAATAAATGTAGTCCAACCTTACTAATTCTGGGTCACTGAGAATGAAAACGATGCTTAAAATTGTTGATTGGCTCTAGTTTTCAAGATATGCTACTGGGTCAGTATATATAACCCTTGACTTGGGAATGGCGGAGGATTAGTGAGTTATTAAGGGAAGGGATCTCAGTTTAAACCAGAAATGACTAAAATACATCTTTGACTGGGTTTGGACAGTACTTGCTTTTTGAGTAAAACAATTAATGATGCAATCTGAACCTGGTATTGCATCATACGTGATATGAATTGCATAATCTTATTCCTAGAAGTCATGGATGATGCAATCATAACTATACTTACATCCCTCTGGTGAAAAAAATGCCCTATATCAGCTCTAGAAATCACAGTGTCGTGCTCTCTTATTTGTCAGTGTTTGATTTTGCAAAGGAACACATTTATGTTTAGCCAAAGCGAACAGAGATGCCTCGTACTTCTGTGAACAAACCAGATAACTACTGCTATGTTTGTGGTGAAGTCACTTTTGCATCACAAAAGCCCAGTATAACCACTATGGTTAAGAAAGCCTATCACCTTTATTTTGGCTGCAAAATTGGAGATCAGGACAAGATGTGGGCCCAACCCATATGCTGCAACACTTGTGCAACAAATTTTCGCCAGTGGTTGAACAGGAACAGGAAATCTATGCCCTTTGCAGTGCAAATGATTTGGAAAGAGCCAACAGATCATATCAGCATTTGTTACTTCTGCATGGCACCTCCAGTTGGGAAAGGTGTGTCAAAGAAGAAAAGTAGACTGTGCAGTATCCAAACATTCCATCAGCTATATGCCCAGTACCCCACGGAGAAGGACTGCGGATTCCTGATGCACCAGAATCATTCTCACCTTGAGTCTGACGAGGGAGAGGATGAAACTTCTGGTCCTGAACCATCAAGGTCACATGACCTAGATTTTCTCCCATCCTCCTCCTCTGAACCACACCTCATAACACAAGGTGAACTGAAAGACCTTGTCAGGAATTTGGAACTACCCAAGAGAAAGGCAGAGCTGTTGGGCTCAAGACTACAGCAGTGGAATATCCTGGCAGGTGATGTTAGGGTTTCCATGTTCCATGACCATCAAAAAGACCTTGTCACATTCTTTTTCATGAAAGGTGATCTTGTTGCCTGCAACATCGATGGTGTGATGGCAGCCCTCAACATCGTTCATGATCCAAATGAGTGGAGACTGTTCATTGATTCATCGAAGATGAGTCTTAAAGCTGTTTTGCTGCATAATGGCAATGTTTTGCCATCAATTCCAGTTGGTCATGCAGCCCATATGAAGGAAACTTATGATAACATGAAACAATTTTTGAGGTGCATAAACTATGACCAACATCGGATGCAGCTTTGTGGCGATTTTAAGGTTGTGGCTCTCTTGCTTGGTCTGCAGACTGGATACACAAAGTACTGCTGTTTTCTCTTCGAATTGGATAGTCGTGCGAGAGATTCCCATTACATCAAGATAGATTGGCCACTCCGACCGTCATTGGAGCCTGGGAGGAAAAGTGTTCAGCATCCACCACTTGTTGAATCAAGGAAGATTTTGTTACCACCCTTTCATATCAAGCTGGGTCTGATAAAGAACTTTGTCAAAGCCATAGACAAAACTCAAGCAGCTTTCAAGTACATCCGTGAAAAATTTCCAAGGTTAAGTGAAGCTAAGATAAAGGAAGGTGTCTTTGTTGGTCCTCAGATTCGTGAACTTCTTCGAGATGATGCAGTTGACAGTGCACTGCGTGGCAAGGAAAAGACGGCATGGAAAGCATTCCAGTTAGTGGCAACAGATTTTCGCGGAAACAACAAGGCAGACAACTACAGGGAGTTGGTGGAAACCAGAGGCGGGCCGTCAGGGCCAGCAAGGCCTTCTCTGCTGGCCTAGAGATTGTCAGAATCAGAAAATAATAATTTTATTTAAAAAAATCATTAATGCTATATGTATTTTTCAAAGTTCGTTCCCATCAGTCTATTAACGTCATTTCATTGCTACTCTCTCCCTCAGTTGCACTGCTTCCAGTGCAGCTCATATAAATTCGAGCTTTTATCCAATCAGATTTTCCACCTGTGCTGTCTCCGGGTGAAAAATCTACCCTGAGGCCTTCAAAATTTCAAGTGAATCCCCTCTGCTGTTGAAGCATTTGGGGACGATGTTGTTGATTGTCATATTCTTTAACCAATCAGATTTCGAGTTTACCATGTTGGGCGTATTCTTTGACACGCCGGAGCCTTCTAGCTTGCCTAGCCGCCTACATTAGCACTTTTCGTGTGGCGTGATCGGAGGGCCAGATAGCTAACTGAAGTAAAACTAGCTAGCACATAACGTTGCATCATCAAAACATTATTTAAACTTCATTTCGTGACGTTTAGATTTTTAGATGTAGTACTTTAGATTTTTTGTTTAGATTTTTACTTAGTCCTGTTGTTTTTTAACGCACAATGGCTGAAGGAGGAGAATACATGGATTTGGTGGCAGATTTACTGGCAAAGCCTTTTTCGAGGAGGACCTTTCAAGAAAAGCCGGGCCTGTTACTAGCTATTTAGTATTATTGCTTGCTTTAGGTCATTGCTGCTGGTGTGAATGATATTCAAATTCAGTGGCCTGACTGTGCCTTTGAGTGTGCGTGGTGGCATGTGCGTTTAGGCCCAGCAGCTTGGCTGGAATTTGTGGGGAAGCCTGTTGAATCCTGATTGTGTTATTTGTGTTTTACGGCATTTTTGCTTGCTTGGTGGTCGTATGAGCAAATGTGACTGGTTGTTGTGAGTTTGTTCTTGTTTCTTTGGTAATGACATTGATTTGAGCTATGCGATGTCTATTTGTGATGCAGCCTCCTGTCGTACTGTGTAATAGTGGAACATCCTTGATGGTTTCAGTCACTATGTATTTATGTCTCTGCAATTAGTGTATTTTAACTCTCATAGGTGTTGAGCTTCATGTTAAATCACTTTATTCCACTCGATAAAGGTTACTGTCACTGTAAATATGGGGTGGTTACGTCGAATGACAATGTTCTTCATCTGAGGACGGCTGCTTGCGTTGTGGCCGAGACGTCGTGAGAATTATTTTATTATGTTTTATTTTTATTATTTTATTATTTCCATTCTACGTGACTTTACCGAAAGAACCAAGAAGAGAAATATCCTATAGCCCTAGTGTCATGAGGAGGTTATTCGAAGGCAGTTTAATTGCGGGAGGATAGCATTGAAGGCCTCGGTGTAAAATACACGGCCCTCCACTGGTGGAAACCCTCCTCAAGGCATACAAAAGCCTTGACTGCAACATTTAACCAGGACATTGCAACAATGGATAAACGCTATCAGGGCAAATGGAGCCCATCAATGCTTGCGGACTATTGCTGGGCAGTGACAAGAGATGCTCCATTTAATGAATACAAGAGACAAGCCAAGAAGCGCCGAGTAGACACTGAATAAGGACTAAACTATGTACTTATATATACATAATAGTTTTTTGCCTTTTGTTTCATAATACATTTTATTTATATAACTATTTAGCTAATTTTTAAAGTGTTGCATGAACAGGACAGGTGACATGTTATCATGTTAAGCAACCATAAACACATGAAAAGACCTAGGTTTACAATTTATGAGTAGAACTCTACTATCTACACAATATACATAGACGTAAAATGTAAAAATTTGGGAACAGTAGCCAATCAGTTGTTTTAATTGTCATATTTGAATTCAGCACATCAAAATCCATAATAAACAGCACATTTCATCTCTGAAGCAGACGACGTCTAAAAAATTGTAGACCAGTGGAAGTAAAAATCACAGATAATCCAATTCTTTAAATTTTTACGCGGGTCTCTATGCCAAAAACGAACGATCGACCAATCGATGCGCGTGCTCAGTGATAACACTTTCCTGCTCCCGCGCAGATGAATCCGCCCACAAAGTGGACAGCAGCATAGCCACGCCAATCAACATCAAACTCTGCCCACTGTTGTAGAGATATGCAACTACTATACTGTTGAGGCAATAACGTGGGTTTTGGATTAACCGGAGCACATATTTGTTCAGTTTAAGCACATGACTTTTACTAAATATTTCCAGGACTAACAATGTATAAATGCTTTTAGATGTTTAATTTGGGCCCAAGGGAAAATCCATGAGTTGTTAATTTATGTTAAAATATGAGGTGCCTGAGTCGTGACGTCACTGAGTCATGGCTTTGTTGTGCGCTTCATTGTGGGCAGCTTGAACCATGGAAACGACACATTTGTTTTGAGTGAACAAGAGTGTGAAAAACGGCCTAACAAATATTAATCCTATCCCATGCACCAGTTTTGCTACTTTGTGAGCGATCACACAAATCCCGATGTTTTTCATCGACAAATTATTAACTTATGTGAAAGTTCTTGATCTCTAGGAGTGACATTCGGAAATTCAAATGGTTAAATGAAGGATACTGACTGACGGACAACCTCCCTGGGTTTTAGCATGCAATGATGCAAATCCACGACTGAGGGTTATGATTCGGTCTGAGAATGATGTCTCATTTGTATTGTTACTGAATGGTTCTGTCTCGTTTATACAGGTTTTTTTCTCACCGTGTGCATTTTTCATTTGCAGTGGCTGTCTCTACAGTAGAGTGGCTTTCGCAGAATACCCATACACAGAGAGTGACGATGCAATCCCATCATCTCGCACCAGGTCTACGTATCAGGGCAGATGGTCGGTCCTTTATTCCACTTGGACTTGCACGGAAACCCATCTCGGTTTCCCGTCTAATGATTGGCCACGACGCTGCCAATGCACCACCATTGGCGGTAACCTCACAGCAGCAGGAGAGTTCACGCTCACACGTTAGACCCCCATCACACGCGGAGCCAGATTTTGCCAAAAATGAGTCACAACGCCAACATGTTCCACATCAACCAACTTCTGCCACCCGTCGAGCCAAAGCCTTTAGTGAAAACGAACTTGAGATACTGGTCGTTGAGTTTTTAAAGAGGCGTCATAATTTGTTGAAAACTGGTGCGAAGAAACCCAGTAATCATATCAAAATGTTTACATGGAACCAAATCGCTCAGGCTTTCAAGGCTAAGGGGTTCGACCACCGCAATATTGCAAGCTGCCAAAAGCGGTGGCATGACCTGAAGCGGAGTGCCTTAAATAAAGTGGACCTCGAGAAGCTAAGGAGGTCGAATCCTGGTTGGCAATTTGAAGCATCTCCATCACCCCTCACTAGAGCTGAGAATAAGTTGTTGAAAAGCTTATATCCAGAGAAGTGGAAGTGGATGATTGGTGTTGATACAGCAATCACAATAACTACATCTACAGGTATAACCATTCTTCGTATGTTCTTCTTGTCGCAATTGCATATTGAATGACATATCATTAAGATGGAAACACGCACCCAGTTACACAAATACACAACAGCAATAGCAACAATTTAGTGCTACATGATGGCATCATCTTTTCAATGGATATGCCAGCGTTATTACGCTTTCACGGCACGCAGATTGGCAACGGCTAACTTACAAGTCAGTCAATTCTTAATTGTACGCCGTAATCCATTGAGGAAGGCCTATTCCGCAAGATAACTCTGAGGTAGAATATTACCAATGCAAACATGAAGATAGCATGTTGCAAATATGATAATAACGTACAAATCAAGACAAATAGCTCAAAGATGTTGGGGGAAAAAAACATATCACTAGGTCGACAGAGACCAGGCAAGTAGTTCGCTCATGATAGCGAAATAATTTTCAGCGATTTTTAATCAACAGATGCTCGACTTGTATTTTTTTCATGATCGTCACTCATCTGCATCCTGTTGTTGCTGGAAGGCACCTGTTTGACTCTCTTTCACCGAAGATGATTTTCATACCACATACATCGGCATGTTCTTTGAACTACCTCTACTATATCTTGTGCAGATTCCACTCCACGTCCAACTGCCCAGACACCCTAACCCCAAGCGACTAGTCTGATAAACCAAATTTTTCAGTCATGAAGGATCCCATTAAGGTTACTTCAATACAGTGCCATTTTCTGTTTGACAATCAGCAAAATAATATTTGCCAAAGGTAGAGAAAGTCACACATTCCTTACGAGCACTTTCAATTCTTTTCAATATATTTGTCATTATAGAAATGCAATAATGCTGATCATTCTGGTGTGTATCTTTTGTTATTTTCAGGAAATTATGACAATCCGGAAGAGAACCAACACCAATATTCACCATTAACGGAATATGAAAATACAGCTGAACAGCTGGAAATGGTTGAGGAAAGCGAATATATATCGAATGATATGCAGGGCAACGAACATCAGTCTGATGACAAAAAAGAAACTTGGAAATGGGTGGAAAGCCAGTTATCACAGGCGAGTGTCAAAGTAGAGGAAAGGGCAACATCACTAGCAGAAGCTCTCCATGAGCTTAGACAGCTAACACAGTCGCTGCGGCAAGAGCTTCAAGGTTCTGCTGCTGGGCCCTCTGGCTGCCAGTAATTAATTTAATAACAAGCTCCCTATAATGCTATACTATGTAATTATGAGTCTAATCAATAAGTATAATCTAATCAAATAACACGCGCGGATTATTGGTTTGCATAATTCCGTATATTCAGTGTGAATTTAACTCAGATGTTTTCCATGATAGTACAATGTCTCATTTCCAACTTGCTGAAACTAAAGTTAGATGAATATGTGAAATTATCGCATACGTTAACGTATATATAATATAACAGTGGCACTGCGTCCAAATACGTTACTAGACAAAGGTAAATAGCTAACTGCTTGAGGCATGGGGAATGCTTTACCTGAGTTTACAAGTAAGCCAATGTACTTGAGATGAATACATTGCTGGATGTGAAAAGGTCGAATTTGTTAAAATATAAAGAAAGGGACCTACACATTGCACGAATCATGCACTGTGCGTGTTTAATTGGTCAGGGTAGATGTGTGATGGTGGGATTTGCGTCATTGTGCGGTATTTACAATATATAGAGATGGTGTCTCTATACTTACGTGTATAGGCCCAACAATAGCATGTGAAAACAGAGCAAAATATGGAAAACAAATCAAAATATTGCTGAAGTTCTCGAGAACAGTGGGGTGGTGACATTTCCCAGCAGTACCGCATTCGCCGCTTTTTGAAAAGGTTCGCAATTTGAAAACGGTGGCCACCATGGTTATTATTGTACGTTTACTACTATTAAAATACGCGTAATCCACTTGAAATGGACGTTAAAGATCCCTGACCTCAGTGAAAACGAGTAGGCTATTGTTTGCTGGCGTTATGGACCACATTTTCCAAATTCTAAATATTACCCAAAAATGCCTCCAGTTGGGATTACATTCACAGAGCAATAATCACCGACCTCTACTGGCAAATTTAAGCCTGATTGCAGGCCAAGTGCGGTGTCACCTTATGCCCCATAGGGGCAGCTGCCATTGGGGGTCGTCGAGACTGGTCCACATAGCAAGTATAGCCCCCGACCGGCACATATACCCGTTTCTAGCACAGGTGCTGAGTCACCTTTTTTCTGCCACTAGGGGTGCTCATTAAAATGTGTTGAGATGAGATGTAATCTTCATCGCTCATTGTTTTGAGACGCTTCAGTGTAAAGGCGCGCGGCTCTACCAAAACAAATCTAAATTATTATGATTATGCTGTTGTACGTGTTATTGTTTGCATGATGTCTTGTTCATAAAATATTCATACATCAATCTTTTTGTCGTTTCTTGCTTCATTACATACGTCACTTATATTTTCTTTTAAACTTTCCATCAATAGAATTTGCAAGAACCAACAATGTGCATGTATGTAAAGGAGGCTGAGTCTCGTGTCCGGTATAGCGTCATTACCTGCAATTAGACGGAAAGCTGCTGGAGATCTGTGCCAGGTCTTTCCCTGTCTCGTGACCCTTGTGAAGAATTTGACCAACCAAGAAGGAGTGCGTGGGCCAAGGTGCTTTTAGAACTCAGCAGAGAACTTGTCATAAACCTACAGCGGTGCCAGATGTAATACCGTTCAAAACATTGTTCAGTTCAGTCACTATAAAAAATATCTGGGCAGGTTCTGGTTTGATGTGTCTGGCGAAAGGTCTTCCATCTCTTTATAGGTGCATTTTAACTTCCTTTTCCAATTGCGCTCTTGTCATATGGAATAGATGGCTAGTTACTTAGTTTGATGCCACTGCAAAATGACATAGTAGACTCCAACACTTCCGGCTGGAATTAGTCAAGTCCAATTTCTCAGTCATTTCCACCAATCTGACTCGGCAAGCTGCTTCCAGATATCTGATCAGATCATCGGCCACGTTTGGGCCGTCGAGATAGGGAGTGTAGGCAGGGTGGCTGCCACGTGGAATGTCCACGTAAGCTACTTTGTAGATGGCGCCATGAAAATATCTGTAAGCTGCATCCATTATAATGTAAGTTTGCTGCGTAACAATGCACCTCGCAGGAACAGTTTCTCAGGGTGCATCTTCCCCACCAGCGGTGCAGCTTTAGAGGGAACCGGATGTGTTTCATGCTGGCCAGCCCCAGCACCACCAAGAGCTGGACGCCTGTCTGGCAGACCCACAAGCACCGAGACACCACCTGTGAGCAACACCGTTTGACAGTGCCCCTCAATCTCTATCTTGAGCTCCCTCCTTCTCAGCCAGTTGCTTGGCCAAACTTAAAGTTAAATTTTTTTTGTTAATTTCATTTGTTGCACGGATGATACCGTTTAGCTAATTCTCTGGCTATTTTACAGTGGAAATCCGCGGTGTGTGAGCACCGCACCAAAAAAAACAAACACAACATCGTCAATTTTGCAGGGTCCTTAAGGAAAATTGCACATATAACAAACGAGGTATTCAAAAACAGTGCAAGTGTAATATGAAAAAGTTAGTTACTGTTGCATGCAAGCTCTTTATTTTAGTCTAACATGGAGCTCTGCGACGCATCTCTGTAACTACGAGACGCGCTGACGTAACATCGAGGCTATAGAGACCCTCGGATGCAACGCGGATAAAGTAAAAGTGATGTGTTGCTCAGAGGAGAATTGAGACAGCGCTCACCTTTTTACAGTCCCAAGTCAGTAGTGGAAATTACAAGTTCTTATGGCAGAGGACAGTCCATCAATAATACTGGTAGGAACCACCTGGTTCCACCAGCCCACAGGGGATTATTGTGTCCATCTGTCCGTCGTGCATACAAAAATGGGAGGGGTGGGGCTGGGTGGAGAGGGGAGGGTGGGGAGGGGCTGGGTGGGAGGTGGGAGGGGTGGGGCTAGGTGGGGAGGGGCTGGTCACCCCGTGGTGCCCTTATAAAACTCACCGTTTAACCTACTCACGCCGGCTTGTGCCCGCCCTCACAGTCGGCCATATTTGCGGAATACACCACGCCGCCGTTGACCCTGGCCATTGACCGAGCAACCCAACGCTCCTACCAGCTGCCTCCGCAGGAATGTGTTTTTTTCTTTTTTTTTGCTGTGCTTATGCACCACGGATCTTACTTGTAAAACATCCAGAAAACTGGCGATACGGGATAATCTGAAACAAATCAAATGAACTCAATAGGACAACCACTGTTGACTTCCCAACAAAGGGATAGTAAT